TAACTAGCTCGTACCCGCCTCTGCACCGGCCGGCCGGCCAGAGGACGATGGTTGGATGGAAAGGCAGCGTGAGATCGTGAGCTGTCGAGACGCCAGCCGCGCGCGGGGCGCTGGGCTTTGCGACCACCGCGTCCGTGCGTGCCCTTTGGCCGGCGGAACCGCGCGGAGGCATCCTGGAACAGCCGCCCAACCGCCCGGCGAAATTCCCCCGGTGCCCTGAGTCTCTCTCGCTGGCCGGCCGGGAATCAGGATCGATTTGATGTGTTTTTCTTGGTCCTCATGCTTGGCCAGTAGTAGCGCAGGGAGGAGAGGGGAAAAGCCTAGCTGCTTTCTTTGCGAGATTCGATCCCCGCAGAAGGTACACATTTTGTTTGGTTCATCTTTTGAAAATTAGCAAAAGAGGCATCACCTTCGAACTGATACACACGAGATGGGGGCGTCGAGTTTTGACTCGGTCGTGATCAAAGCTTGCTATATTCCGAACATGCATCTTGGCATCACGGAACTTTTTGACGATTTGGTGTACGCGGAATTGAAGTATGCAACCCCAAGAATCGTAAACAAATTCAACCAGAAATATTGCTCGTGTCGTGCACAATCTCTAGAATATGATTGTTATTTCTGCGCGCGCGTAAGTAGCGATGGAATGTATTAACAGGAAACAGAATCTGTATCACCTCAGGGACCACGGCCCCTACGCATGTCGACTGCATGCCAAGGACGAAACACACCCATGCCCTGAACGGTAAACGGCTAGAACTCGGATCGGATGCAACGCCAAGGTCCAACGTCCAAACTGCCCTCAGCTGATAGCTCACGCTAGTCGGCTGCTACTACACATGCCAGCCAGCCAGCCGGGCTGTCTCATGTTTGTCACCTGTCACTAGGGCGACGACGCACGGTCACATCCGTCGTCATATGCGCCGGACGAACGAACGAACTGTGTGTTGCTTGGCTGAGCCCACTCAACGCACGCACGCGTGCGCCCGCCCGCTTGCTGCCGACACGTTTCGGATGCTGACGCGTTCGCGAGAGGCACGTACGTACAGAGTAAGGGGCGCGCCCACGGGAGAAAACAGTGGGCGACATCGACGCCTTGCCCGAGCAAGCGCCAGATGTGGCCGGCCGTCCGGCGTCCGCTACATATTACTACTACAGTTAGCTAATAAACTAGCGCGAAGGTTTTCTAGACGCTCATGGTGCCATTTGCTAGCTAGTTGATCCAGACCCAGTTGCTTCATTGATCATTCCGTACGACTAATGTGGGGGACAGTTCGTTTGGGGCTTCACGAGTGGCTAACTGTCCCTATCTAAGCACGATGACTTTATTAGGAGGCGCTTAAAGCAGAAGAAAATTAATTATCTCGAGCATCGGATCAAAATACCCGATACCTGTGAAAAGCTGCTGTGGAGCTAGGGCCTTATATCAAGACACATGCATGGAATATATATATATATATATATATATATATATATATATATATATATATATATATATATATATATATATATCAAGACACCTTTGATAGAAAATCCTACTCCTAATCTCACGAATTCTTGACCGTGGATTAAAATCCAATCTACATAGCCCTCCCCTCCACCTTATTTTCTGGGTATGCGAGTGTTCGTGGACGACGAACGGTTTCAACAGCCACTTGTTTTCGAGATAGCCTCTCGTTCCGATTTGTTTCACGTGCAAAGTTGCAAGCTGGGCCAAGCCAATCCGCAGGCTTCTATCTGCTTTTCCCCCTTTTTTTATCAGGCCTTAGCTGAACAACTCCTTGGCAAGCCCAAACATATTTATATCTACACTCTATACGTATAAAAATGTTTATACATAGAAACTGTATACATATATACTTTATACATTGAAACTTTGTACATGTGTAAATTTTATTAATGTAAAATTTGTACAAACAATTTAAAACAAATGCAACAATATATAATCTCTCTCTAAAAAATATTTATACGTAAAAGAGTTTACACATACAAACTTTATACATAGATATTTCCTGCGTATAAACTTTGTGCATAGAAAGTTTCTACATATAAAATATTGCACCTATAAACTTTGCATATATAAATTTCAAATGAATTAAAAAAATCACAAAAAGTATTAAACAGTATAAAACCTTGTATATATAAATATCTAAATTAAAAAGCCAAACTTACTACTCATAAACTTTCCATTAGTAAACAGATAAACTTTCCATTAGTAAACAGATGAACAGAAAAGGAAATCCCGCGTGAACCAGAAACGGAAATCCGGATACATTCGCTGACTCCTCTCCCCGCGAACGTTCGCACATTAGGCCGCCCGCCATTTTCTCCATCTCGCCCTATCCCGTAAGCTATACGCTATGCAACATGCATACGCAATGGCGTATTTAGGATTTTTTATGTGGGTAGTCCAACCAATATTTTTTTAAAAAAAATGCCCTAAACATAACAAAGCTTGGAGTATAAATTGATCAAATGTGCATTATTAAGCATGGAGTTATTTATTTTTACTTTTCCCAAGAGTCTTTTCATATATGTATATATATACATTGGGCTAGATTTTTTTCGTGGCCCCGGGACTACCAAGGCCACCTGTGTGCACGCGCTGTCCCTCGCCTTGCTAGTGAGCCCTCCGTCCACCCGCCATGGCTTATTTCCGAGCTCCGGTGAGGTGGCCCATCCCACCCTCCTTCTAACCTCTTTGTTTCGTTTTACCCTAGTCGTTGACCCTACGTACTGTTCCGTTGCCTCATCGTTGCCTCCCATGTTCACGGGCTAGGGCCATCGCATCGTTGGCCTCCCTCTAAGCCAATAATTTCTCTACCCCCAACCCCTAATCCTACTAGGTCGGGCCACCACCAAATCTCGTACCGTCGAAGCTAGAGGAGGAGCCTGTACGAATCACGACACGATTCAATGGTCTAAAATCTGTAAGACTCTTCTCCCGTATTTTTTTTCTTGTTAAATGTTAGTTAGCATTCATTTTTCCAAAGAAATTGGCATTTTCATAAATTGTGATACGATAGAGTGGGCCTTGCATCGGGCAAAATCTTGAGCTCAATGAGGAGGGATAAAAACCATAATTGACATGTTTGTGCTCCTAAGGTGAGAAATTGTTGAAAAAAAAATACTACTTCCTCTGTTTCATATAATAAGTCTTTTTTCTTTTTTCCTTGTTAAAATTATTTAGGTTTGACCAAATTTATAGAAAAAATTAGCAAAATCTATAATGGTAAATTAGTTTCACAAAATTTAATATTGAATATATTTTGATAATATGTTTTTTATGTTGAAAATACTACTATATTTTTTTATAAGCTTGGCTAAATTTAAAGAAGTTTAAGTTAAACGACTTATAATATGATGGAACAGAGGGAGTAATAAGTTTGTGTGATAATGATAAAGTACATATGGCCTAGCCAATATTATAGTGGTATAAAAAGCATTAGTATATTGTTTCTGGATGTTGACCTTTTACAGCAGCATATGTAACCATTGTTCCATAGGAAAGGAATTTTTTTTTCTTTGAACATACCGTAAGAAAGGATTGATAGTACGCCTTATAGTTCTTTTCGGAGTAAAGTCCATCACCGGTCCCTAAACTTATACCGCTGTGTCATCCTGGTCCCTAAACTCGCAAATCGACCGTTCAGGTCCTCAAACTTATTCGACTGTGTCATCCCGGTTTCTAAACTTGCAGATCACTCGTTTAGGTCCTCCAACTTGTTCAGTTGTGTCACTCCGGTCCCTAAACAGGACGGTCTAAAAAATTTATATCAAAAAATAATTTATAATTTTTTCATGTGAACTCTAATGAAGACAAACGTTATATCAAAATTGTAGCCCTCGACGTGACCTACAACTTTGTAGTTGAAAAGTTTTTGAATTAAAACTGTTTAGGGTCCCAAAATATTGTTGCATGTTTATAGATTTTGAAATTTTAATTTTAAAATTACATTTTGGGACAAAAATTGACTTAAAATAAAAAAAAATTCAACTACAAAGTTGTAGATCACGTCGAGGGCTACAATTTTGATATAAAGTTTGTCTTCATTAGAGTTCACATGAAAAAGTTATGAATTATTTTTAAATGTAAAGTCTTTAGACCGTCCTATTTGATCCAGATGATATTCAAATCCAAGTTTAGAGACCGGGGTGACACAACTGAATAAGTTGGAGGACCTAAACGAGTGATCTGCAAGTTTAGGGACCGGGATGACACAGTCGAACAAGTTTGAGGACCTGAACGGTTGATTTGCGAGTTTAAGGACCGGGATAACACAGCGATACAAGTTTAGAGATCGGTCATGGACTTTACTCTTCTTTCTCTTCTTTTTCGCGAAGACACAAAAGCAGAGCTTAGTGGATGAGACAAAAGAGCATGTGCACCTGTTAGGCTGTTAGCTCCAGCAGGACATAAATACGCGTACCCACATCTTGTGGTTCGTCGCCATCAGGCGGCACCATATTCGGGGCCATATTCTTGACCAGATGGATTCTCCAGGTACGTATGAGAAGGACAGAAATGGTGGGTCTCCGGTCATAATACGTAACTACGTCGTCTTGTGTGTTCCGCTCATACATCAAGACATTTGTTAGGCACAGATCGTTAATCCCTTGGCCCAAGACAGCGTAATACACGGACGAATAGCCTGAGCCCTTACTAAGGTCCACATATATAGGCCAGTACCTTGTGACCAACCAAACCTTGGTCCATTGCAAAGAGGCCCACGGGTTCGCGGTGAAGGTGTTGTGTGGACAGAGGATCGATAATTGTATGGAGCCATGGACCATGCATGCATGAACGATGGTCTCGCTTGGATCACGCTGTGTCATCCATGTGGTTCGGGGCTTCGCTTTTTCAGCTCATAATAATGCAGCCTCGTGAACATCGGATGATATTAACGTGGTATACATGGATACAGTTGCTGCAATCAGTAAAAAGTGGATCCTGAAACCTTTGCGGATTTGCCAACAGAATTGGCAGTTGTTCTCCCGAGGAAAGAAAACGACGACGAACTACGCACCGTTGGCCACCGTGCTGAATTGTTGGCCCAAAAGGACGAAATAACATGTCCACATGCGAAACAAGGAGGGGGCCCGTCGATCTCAAAAGGCCCAATACGGTCCGACACGGGGAAAAAAGATCATGCGTCGGCCCAAGAGAAACCTAGACGAGCAAGGCGCGAATCACAGATCATCAAGCTAAGATCAACGACCAATGGAACACAAACAATGCAACAAACATTTTGTCCACGCCTCTGACTCCTCTGAGACGACTGGACCCAACGCAACAACGCCAACACGGGGCCCTCTACCGCTGCGTCGTCTCCTTCAATTTACACGGGACGGCGAGGCCCATCTTTTTGTGGCCTTTAGGATGCGAGACCTTGGGCCTAGAAGGCCGCAGAGGGGCGGCGAGGGTGGAAGGGCGAGGGGGCGGCGGCGGCGGCTGACGACGGCGGCGGGCGCACGGCAGGCGGGCCGGTGGCGGCGGTGATGCGCTCGCAGCGGGGGCACATGGTGAGCGCGGACGCCGGGAGCGGCTGCCTGGTGTGCGGCGAGAGCACCGTGGGCGGGGCCACCCGCATCGCCCGCAGCTCCTCCACCTCCCGCTGCAGCCGGCGGTTCTCCTCCGTCAGCGACCCGAAGCAGCGCTTCAGGTACTCGCACTCCATCTCCGTCTGCTTCAGCTTCGTCCTGCACACAGCCACCAGCTCCCATCACTTTCTGTTCTGCCACGTACGTTACGATCAGTAACAATCGGGCAGCGATTGAGCGTTAACAAATGAAAAGATGTTTCTGCCATGAACTTGCCGAAGTTAACTGCGCGACATTACTATTATTAGTAGCTCAGTACTACTTGATTGCAGATTAAAATAGCGGCATGAACTAGAGTAGTTACTCAATTTGACCTTAGGCGTCCATTCCGATATCATTGTCACCTCGACGGCGACGTAGAGTGAAGGCAATGGCCTTTGTAGGGATCAATTGAAATGGATTGGCGTTCAGGTTACAAGTTGTACGCCATCCTTCACGGGACGTGTTAAACTAAGATTTCGCATTAGGTAGCTAGGGTCAAAGTTACAGAGAGCTGTAGCACGTGCCGATTAGTCCACGTGCCGGCGCCATTGGAACAAGCAACTCGGTTTTTTTTAATCCTGGAATCAAACCGAACGAGTATCATGGAGTAATCTACGCCATCTAGCAGCAATTCATAAGTGATGATGGAACTGCCTACACTTTATCAGGCTAGAGAATCTAGCTAATTGTTTGTTGTCTCACATCTTGGATGCACTACTAGTTTCAAGATGGATACCTAAGGATCCTTGTCACCTTCGTGAGGGAAAAGATTGCATAATTTTGTTGGAATGATGGGTTCATTGTGGTCCTGCTAGTATAACTTGTGTTGCACCAACACTAATAAGTGTAGTAATCAATCTAGCTTTTACGTAGGCTCTAATGCAAATTTGTAAAGAAATGCCATATAGTGGTCGCTTTCAAGATCATCATTTAGCATAAGCCGGATTGACTGTACTCTAATGCCTTTTGTCTTTTGTGAAGTTTTGTCACATGAACCATTTCAAATGCTAATACTTCTATGTATGGCTAACATATATAGGATCAAGTATGCTTCTTCGTCACATTCTCGTGTACAAGTCTTTGCCTTGGTATGTACAGAACATAGCTATTTATAGCGGAGAAAATACTCTAGTATATGATAGTGTAACGAGGACTGAGGAGTAGATTCTACTGAAATGATAAATAAAGAAGCTTGTGAACTTATTATTGGGTACTCTATATATTGCATCAAGATGGGGGATTTTTTACCTTGCCCTACGGTTCTGAAACCAGACCTCCACCTGCCTCGGCCGCAGCTTCAGTTTGATCGCCAAGGCCTCCTTTTGCTTCTGCAGAGGTTACATTTTCCAACGCATTAAATTGCTTGCCATTACACATGCAGGCCTTCAGGTTCAGAGTATCTCAGTATACTCCATATTGCAAGGGTCGTAGTATAGTAGTAAATCGCAGTAACACCCCTGCTAGTCAAACGAGCCTTAACTGCATTACCAGGCACTAGTTTATCATATACTCCTGCATTACTCTCTACTGTGCTTTACTGTACGTAAATATACCAGTATAGCTGCATAAAGCCAACTTTATACTGCATAGTGCTGCTAGGATATACTTCAGTAGACGTTGTTATGAAGTATCTAAAGCACTATATATAGTTCATTATACTATCAGCTGTACAGCACGTAAATACCAGTAAACCACTGCACAGAACAAACATTATAGAACTACTGCATAGTGCTGCTAGTACTCAGTAGACGTTTTTATGCAGCATAACCCTGAAGTGGTGTGACGTGTGCGAGAGAGAGAGAGAGAGAGAGGGTGCAGAGGTGCCTCCTCTCCTTTTATAGCTGTGCGGCTGTGCACACAGACACCAAGTACTAGTATATCTCCCGTGCAAGGACCATATCATCAAGCACCGAGCAATTATGGAGGAGTACCATCCAATGATCGATGGTCCTCCGAATCCATTTACTCGGAATCAATTCATATACCACGCCCTTTCAATGTCCAACAGTCCGTCAGCAGGAGTGCTCCACTTCAAGACCCAAATCCACACGCCAGTTAGTACGAACTAGTGAGCTCGATCTGTGATTATGATCGAGGAGCACGAAGCACTAATTCTATCAAGAACTAGATTCTGATGCAGGTACATGTACCAGACTGTGAGTCTCATATGCATGGAGTAGTATGCTAGAGCTGAGAACTTGAAATGCAGCAAGGAGAATGGCAGGGCGGGGAGGGAGGTGTACGATGTGAGGGTGCAGTGCACACTGACCGGCGTGAGGGTATGGTTGAGGCGGAAGCTCTCCTCGAGGAGGCGGGACTGCTCCTTGGAGAGGCGGAGCTTCTTGGGGCGGTGGGGCCCACCGACGCCCCTCTCCTCCTCGTCCTCCTCCACGCTGCCCATCGGGAACTCCTCCTCCTCGCCGCCGCTCGCCGGCTGGTTGATGTCCAGGTCCCTCATGTTGCAGCCGCCACCGGCGTTGTTGTTGTTGCAACCGGCCCCTTCTGCAAACAACAATACTCCTTGTTAGATTGCCATGAAAGTTGAATGGTCTCATGTTGATCAGTCTCCAAACCAGAAGCAAACGTCAATGAAAACCGCAAACAAGTTCAGTCTCCATGCCGAGAAAAACATTCTGAAGACCATGCATATATGTGTTGGTAACTCCAACTTCAAAAGGTTGGAGGTGCGCTCTCACATATGGGCATGTTCCGACGAAAAAAAAAAGATCAAGGCACGCACGTTTGTAGGATGGAGACATAGCTAGGAGATTGGTTGTCTCCCGAGCTTACCTGAACCAGAGGAGCTGAGGCCGGGGACAGCCATGGTGAGCTCCAGGCCTGACGGAGAAGTGGCCCCCATCATCACAAGCCAATGCAGAAGCGGCTCAGCAAGAGAAAAGGGCAGGGAAGGCGGGGCAAAGGCGGAGGGAGACAAAGACAGGTTGAAAAGGAGTAGAAGCCTGGGGAGGCGTTATATAAGGGGCGTTTCCAGGGCGAGGCTGCCAGGGTAGAGGCATGGACACGTTAGAACTTTTAACAGTGGCAGTGCCCCTTTAGAGCAAGGTTAACAGTATAGCCAACTACTAGCTCCAATTTATCTATAGCCAATTTAATAGTCAATTTATACAATAGTTGCTTACTATACTATTAGCATATGGTCCCACTGTCATACACACATTACGTCTTAGAGTCCATGCTGTAGCTGGCTAAAGATTTGTAGCCCGCTGCTCTTCTCTTTCATCTTTTATCTTATTAAAATATATTTGCAGCTGGCTTATAGCCTGCTATTGTATATTGTATATTGTGTGTGGAAATAATATTGCTGCTGCTGCTACTAGTAGCAGGGCGTGTACTTTAAATTATTAGGCTCATACTGTTTGGGACATGATGTGGTTTTTTTGTTCTTTGACTGGGATTACAACTTGTTGGAATGGTGGATCCTTGGCTCCTGATTTGAACCAACAAGATTATATGTATGATTAGTTCTGATGGCCTAATAATGGACTTAATCCTACAGATATCGAGAATTTTCCCACATAGGAGTACTACCCATCATTGAGTTGGATTTGTTTTCCATCAATCTCCATGATTTAGGAGTGCTGAACATGGATAAGATGATCGGAACTTGTAGACTCTTGTCTAGTTCCAAGTCCCTTTGATCCATGAACATGAAACCATAGTGAGCATCGGAACATAGCATTTCATGATCTCCAGGTACGAACGGTGTTAGCTACCCTGCCTAACGGAAGTGTGAATCCGGTAGGCATCACATCGGGGAAGGGCTCCGTCACGCCGGAGTGCCAGCCCCACACAAGCTTTGACCTAACCCGTCACGTCGGAGGCAGGCTTTTCCCGGGCCGGGCCGGGCCAGTCGCCTCGCCGCACTCGTTCGGTCGCGCTCGCGCAGCCGCCGCAGCCGGTCACGGCGAGCCGGGCGATGGTGGACTGGTGGGTGGGGATGGATGGACGGGCCGCGCTCGCGGGCGGAGGGGTGACGGTGGGCACGCCACGCGTCGGGGCGCATGGGCGGGTGCAGGAGGATTGCCGGCAGGTCCCCCGGTTCGGGGGTAGGCGAGCCGGCCTGTCGGCCCGCGGGACGGCCGCCGTAATCATTGCGCCACCAGTCCACCACCTACTCTCGTCGATCGACCTCGTCTACTCTTCCCTCGCCAGTCGCCACCGGCTTAACCTCGACTTGCATTGTTTGTGCGCGCGTATTGTTTGTGCTCGGTACTGTATGTGAGTACACGTCTTAAGCTCTGCTGCACATGATTCCTTTGTCACAAAAAAATAGTCAGACGACCATCAGGGGCTCAGGGGAAACATGGCTGGATGAGTTGTACTCCCTCCATCCCAAAATATAAATATTTTTAGCATAGTGTTAAGTTACACTTTTTTACTTCGGCTATTACTTGCAAGAAAAATAAAAAAAATCAATCAAGTAAAATTGATTGATGTTACTAGATTTATTATTAAACAAGCTATCATAATATGCAATTATTTTTATTTAAAATATATTTATTTTATAGATACTAACATGGTGGCCCGCACAGATTGCGCGGCTAGCATCATTATATTTTCTCTCATATAATAGCATATATGTTTTCTCATTATATTATTCAGATATATTAAAATGACATTATAATTTTAAATTTTGCAATAACTTTACGAAACTACAAATATGTAATATGCATAGCGTATTTTATATACGTGTTAGTTACTAATTATTTTTAATACCAAATTTTAGTTATTTGTAAATTATATATATTCCTATATGGACACTAGACTCGTCTTTTAATATATTTTTTAATTCCGAATTTTTTGTAAATTGTTTTTCTATATAGACTCTAGGCTCTTCTTCCAATACTATTTATTTTTATTTCTGAATTTTTATTATTTCTAATTATATTTCTATGTGGACTCTAAACTCATCTTTCAATATTCTTTAATTTTTAATTTCGAATTTTCGTACTTCTAAATTGTATTCCTATATTGACTTTAAACTCTTCTTCCCATGTTTTTCTTAATTTTGAATTTTAGTTATTTATAAATTGTATTTTTATACGGACTCAAAACTCTACTTTTAATTTTATTATGTTTATTCCTAATTTTAGTTAGTTTTAAATTCCTATATGGACTCTATACTCTACTTCTAATATTCCTTATTTTTTAATTCCGAATTTCTTTTTTTTCTTAATTGTATTTTTATATGTACTCTATCCTCTACTTCTAATATTCCTTATTTTTAATTCCGAATTTCTATTATTTCCTAATTGTATTTCTATATGGACTCTATACTCTAGTTCTAATATTCATTATTTTTAATTTCGAATTTCAGTTATTTCCTAATTGTATTTCTATGTGGACTCTAGTCTCCTCTTCTAATATTCCTTATTTTTAAAATCTGAATTTCAACTATTTCTAAATTGTATTTCTATATGGACTCTAGTCTCCCCTTCTAATATTCCTTATTTTTTAATTTCGAATTTTAGCTATTTCTAAATTGTATTTCTATATGGACTCTGCTTTTTCTTTTTCTCCAATTAATGTGAGAATTTCTAGGCCATGAGAGCGAACGTGGAAACTCTTCTTCCCATGTTTTTCTTAATTTCAAATTTTAGTTATTTGTAAATTGTATTTTTATACAGACTCAGAACTCTACTTTTAATTTTATTATGTTTATTCCGAATTTTAGTTAGTTTTAAATTCCTATATGGACTCTATACTCTACTTCTAATATTCCTTATTTTTAATTCTGAATTTCAGTTATTATTTCCTAATTGTATTTCTATATGGACTCTAGTCTCATCTTCTAATATTTCTTTTTTTTAATTCCAAATTTCAACTATTTCTAAATTGTATTTCTATATGGACTCTAGTCTACTCTTCTAATATTCCTTATTTTTTAATTCTTAATTTTAGCTATTTCTAAATTGTATTTCTATATGGACTCTGTTTTTTCTTTTTCTCCGATTAATGTGAGAATTTCTAGGCCATGAGAGCAAACGTGGAGGCTCATTTTTCTATTCCTTTAATAATATAATAGATTGTTGGTCAAAATAGTATCTCGAAGATTGTATCGAAGTCTTAAAAATGCTTATATTTTGGGACAAAGAGAGTACACATGAAGCTAATTATCCCATATTAAGTTTGTTTTGCTTATTTTGTTATAAAGGGAGTCGAAACATATCCAAGTAAAAAAAAATTAGCACGATGTAGATTTTTCTCCTCTCTTAATGCTGGTTAAGGACTTCATTTGAAACGCAAAATTTTTAAAACACACTGATCAGAAAAATACAGGATTAATTCCTTCAAAATTTCTACTCCCTCCATCTCATGAAAAAATCAAATCATGCGGATGAATTTGGACATACACTATGTCCAAATTCATCCCCAGAATTTGATTTTTTTTATGGGACGGATGGAGTATATTTTAAGACAATCTAAAGGAATTTCATATATGATTTTTATAGCTATTATTTTTTATCCAAATGACAACATAGAAATTTTTTTATGGGATTAAAATCCTTCAAAATTCCTTCATGAATCCTTTATTTCTAAAGGAGTGCTGATATTTTTTATGTACTCCCTCCGTCCCTATATATTTGACGTCATTATCTTTTTTAACATGTTTGACCATTCGTCTTATTAAAAAACTTTTGCGAAATATATAAAACTATATATATACATAAAAGTATATTTAACAATGAATCAAATGATAGGAAAAGAATTAATAATTACTTAAAATTTTTTAACAAGACTGACGGAGCTCGTGGCTCCTCACCGGGAGACCGCGCAGGCCCCCCTTTGCCGGTTCGGCCGGGGGCTTAGGGTGAAATCTCAAGCTCTCGCTCTCCCTCTGTATCTGGAAAGATCGTCTGCCCGCAAGACACACAAGACACGGCGATGTATACAGGTTCGGGCCGCTGCCAAGCGTAATACCCTACTCCTGTGTTTTTGTGGATTTGTGTATGAATGAGCTACAAAGTGTGAGCCAACTTCTCCCCCGTTCTAAGCTCTAAATCTGGAAAAGAATCCAAAAGAAGAACCCTCTCTCTATGGGCAAGGTCCTCCTTTTATACTTCAAGGGGATACCACATGCACCCTCCCCTTTCCAAACTGGACTTTTCTTCTCTTTATGGACGGAGATTGGTATGGTTGCTGTCCGAATGACACTCCGATGGGACAGCCCACACCTACCTCCACTCCCGGCGGAGACAGGCGCAACGTGGGATCGTGGCTGCCCGTTGCTGACGCGACCAGTGCCAGACCGGTCATTCTTGTCCACCACGCGTCAGTTTAACAACATGCATGTTTGCCCTTCCTTGTGTAACACCTTGCCTGTAATGGTTAGGATGAAGCCTGGTATATATCGATCGGGGTTAACGTGCCATCTCTGGGATGTAACACGCTAGCTCCAGCTGGGGACGAGTGCTTAGAAGCTCACACCTTGACGGGATGGGGTAAGGCGTGCGTCAGACCGCCAGTCGCCACCTAACCCGTGATCTGACCGGTCTGTGACTGGTCACAGACCGGATAAAGGAACGCGCCGTACTGCGCTGCATGCAGCGTGACACGCTTGACCAGACTGCAATAAATGCTGTTAGGTGAGCACAGCTGTGCTCACTTATCCCATATATGTGGCGCAGACTTCCTTAAGGGGGTCGGGGTGCCTCGGCCCTCGGGGCCGGGGCAAGCGCAACCCGACCCCCCCTCGGGGGTAATCAGGAGGAGGGCGGACACCTCACCCTCGGGCCCGACGTCCCCGAAGGTGCCAGGCCACGTGGGCGATTGTGTCTGCCTCAAGCCTCTAGTCATGATACTCCCGGTCCCATATCACCGACAGTAGCCCCCGGCGTTATGCCAGAGCAATTTCCCTTCCCAAGGGAAGCGGTCAGGTGTGACGCCACCCTGTGACAGGTGGGACCGGTCTCCGTAGTTGGGCAAAATACCCAACGGTCTCAATCCATGCACATTGGTATTGGTAACTTTGGTTGTCCATAATGGGCGGTCTATTCAAGACTGCCACACCACTTGAGCAGCGCGCGAATCTGGGTGAGCAGATTTGTCTCGCCCGGAGATATGGTAACGCCGCTTCGGTCGGCGAGCGTAATTAACGCGCGCACGATACAATCCATTTCGATTGCCACAACCGCATATCCACTCAAT